CAAAAAATCCGAACCCTGCCCGAATGATTAGAGATAGCGATTTGGTTCTTTCGCGGATTTGTAGGGGAAGGTCTAGTGGTTCGAGCCAGCATCGGGGGAAAATTTTTTGCTTTTTTTTTCTTGGTTCCTACTCTTTCAAAGATCGATAAGGCTTACCACCTACAGGTGGTGCACCTTGTGGGGCTTACTATTTTTCTAAGGGCAAAAATCGTCCTCTACACGATGGTAAAAATCGTAGATCGCTAGGACTTTTCCATAAAAAGTTATTCGAAAAACGCCACTCTGCACTGTATTTATGGATCGATAGTAGTATTCGATGTATTACAATATATTTTGGTGTATGATTGAAGGAAATATTCATTTGATAAATAAGGTGTAGTATAAATGAGTATACGCTCGTTTGAGAATGCACATTCAATGTACCAATGATGTTGTTGATGCCAAAAATCACTTTGAAAGGGTAAAAGCCTATTACCAATGTCATAGATTTCACTTAAAAATAGGACAGAGAACATGAATTTGAAAACATCTAAGAAAGGTAGTGAAGATGTAATCAAATGTTGCCAACGACAAGCATCAATGATATCTTCTTCGTTATCAGAATAAGCAGATATTGTTAAACTTTTCAAATTTGGTATTTTCTTCAAGAGTATCTCGAGAGAATCAAATGAACCCATAAAATCATGAATAATCAAATGTTTCAAATGAATAGCAATATATTCATTAGTCAGATTAACTACTTTCTCTTTCAATTCTAAGTCATCAAATTGATGGAAGTGTTGGACATTGAGATATTTTAACTTAGGTACGTATCTAAAAAACTGACATAATTTCTGTATGGAACAATATGATATCGATAAATTGATAACTGATATAAATTGATCGCTAAGCGCTAGATTCAGTTCTATTAATTTCATCGATAATGTTTGCAACGTAGACTTCGGTAGTGCTGCTAGTATTTTATCAGTTCCAAGCGATGTAATCGAAGAGTAAAAGTGACGCAGATCAGATAACATTGGTAACATCCGTATCAATTGCCCCACATTATCTGCACAGAGTCCGATCAGGCACCGAGATCGAAGACGGGGAAATTTTTCTAGTGAAAAGACTGACAAAAATGCCGATATTTGGTCATACACATCTAAATTCGATAGTCGTAACGAACAGATTTGGCTTTTGATTTCTGGATTCGATAATATTATTTGACACGATTGATGCCATGCGGATTTTTTCATATGTTGAAAATTGAGATGTAGTGGAATATTTCGAATAAGTTTGTAATACCGATAATTTAGGGCATCAAATGAATGGAATATATCTATCATATTGAGATATTTAAAACATCTGATGAGTATCTCGTTTGGTAATAACTCAAATTTCATTATGACTTGCACTTCACTCACGGTAAAAGGGAATGATTCTCTTCAAACTCGTGTGTTGCCTGTCGAAATGAGAAAAGCAAGTTGTTGATAACATCGCTTTATGGCTGACTTCGTAGGTAACGAATCTCTCAAAGAGAATATTCCCACACTCTTCTGAATCAAGAATTCATTTTTTATTCTTTCCAGCTCTGCCGAAAAAAAACCCGCTGTCTTCACAGAACTCAATACTTTCTGAAACGTAACGAAGAAAAATACAGAAAATAGCTTTTCTTTTCGGTTATTGCATAACAAAGATACTAAGACGGCGTAATGTTCTTACACAACAGAACGAAAGACTCTCTTCGTTGTCGACCAGGCAACTGCGATATAAAAGGATTATTACAAACTGGAAAAGTTAAAATGAATAGCTGCTATCCTTTGGAATAAACGCAAGACATCAAAACAGCAAAAAGTCTTTAAAATCAGCTATTAATATCAGCAGAATTTTTCCAAGGAGAAAACTCTAAAATTAGAGCGATCTAGTCAAATTAGGAGATTCGTATACCTGGTCACTCGATAGAAGAATTTGCGCGAAAATTCTGCGTGCCAATCGATATTCAAAAAATTCCTTTTGTTCCGCAGGAATTTTGATTTTCCTTCATAAAAAAAACGACGGCTGACGCCATAGTTAATTAAAAATTGTTAGTAAAACAAAAATTAGGAAGAATTGTCAATTTGTTTATGAAGTGCACAATCCATAAAAAAAGTCTACAAACGTAGAATAGGTAAAAGTTGACTAATTTTTCAATATATATACAAAATCTATCTAACTGTAGAATATTCGCGATGGCTTAACGGGAAAGTGTTTGTCTTGCAATTCGAAGGTACCGTGTTCGAACCTACAAAAATTCAATATTATTTGTCAACTCTGCGCAAAAAGTAAACATCCCGTGCATAATACTGTGCGGAAAAAGTAAGTCTTCTGCAGGAAAACTAAGTAGAGAGAGGCTGACTACGATATATAAGATG